CTAAGCAATATTAATCGCCTAGCCAACAGAGTACAAAAGGCCAATATGTTGCATCTGTAATTATTTAGTTGGGTTTCTGGTGGTGCAACACCGAATCATGCAATATAAGGAGAGCAGCTTATTGGTTCTTCCAAAATTTTAGACAGAGTATAAAAAATAGATTTCCAAAAAACGATCTAATCTTGGGCATGTCCAAAACATATGTACTAGACTTGCAGGGTCTTGCTTGCACCTATCGCAAGTGGAGTCCAAATCGGGTCGAATTTTGGACAGTCTAACTTTACACCAACGAAGTCGATGTACTACCTTGAGTTGTATAACAAAATGCCTTGGACAAACTGAAGATGAGCACATTCTTCCAATAATTTTCCGCCAAGTCTCATCTGAAATTTGCTCATCCAAGTCCTCCTCCCACCTGCTCTTAAGATCACCTAAAGCTGTCATATTATGAGAGATGAGAAACGGATATATCCCGCCAGTACACTGCTTAACACCTTTCCCGAGTTCGAAGACAGAGTCCATCAACGACGTGGGAGGGTAAAGAGGAAAACAGTCAACATGTGCGGCTACAAAGCTCCGTAGCTGGAGTACTAAATTAGGAATACTAAATTTATTCACCGGTTGCTCGAAGGATGCAAAGTTATTATCTATATAAAGGTCTTGTAGTGATGAGACCCCATTCTTAGACCAAATATTAAACGCTCCATCTGCTGTTGAGGGGATAAACATATGATTTTTAACTATGAGGGGTGAATAATGAGGGTTTGTTGAGTGTAAATGACCAAATTGAATCCACATTTTTACTGATTGTGCAACAATGGAGCTATACTGTAGTGTTTAAACAGTATTTCTCAATTCTCTCCAGCTTCTCTGAGCCAAAACATTCACGATCCTACAAACTGTCATCCGACCAAACCTTAGAGTCATCCAGACATACACCCAGCGCAGAAACAGAGCCAGAGGAGTCCAGCCCGACCCGCCTAACTGAAAGTAAAGACCGAAAGCAGAAGAGTGGGTGAAATACTCCAGCATTTTCCACAAAAACAGGAAGGGGTGGCCATTTTCCTGAACTCAGCTGTGTCAATTTGAGCTGCCCTCGTAAAAGAATGAGATGACCCTGCTTCAAAGAGAGGGGCATAAGGGTGAAGTGGCATCTAGAGGGAAATAAAAGTGATACTGCTGAAAGACTATGACGTTACAGCACTGTACTAATGTGCCCAAGAAAAAGAGTGACCAGAGCTGGGGATACTGAAAGTGAAATCTACCTGTCCATCAAAATCTGGAGCTCAGAAAAGGGGAGTTTCTTGATGAGACCAGATGTTTGCTTTTCATTTTTACGTGTAAAATCGTGTGTTTTGGCACAAGAAAGGAGAAGAGATGATTATATGAGAGACATACATACTGTTAATAACACTAGGCTGAAGTTGGCTTCAAATTCGCCAACTTCTTATTCGAATTTTCCCGTTCCACCTTAAATGGTGCAGCAGTTACACTGTGGAGCCTCGGGCGCCAGAATGTAACTGCTGCACCATTTAAGGTGGAACGGAAAAATTCGAAAAAACAAGCTGGAGAACAAGCAGCTTCGGGTTAATAACACATTACAGAATGATGCCATGGTTAAACTAGGAGGCAAATTTCGTAGCTAGACACCCAGACACGCCGCTAAACTTCTACTAACCCGGCAAAACTTCGGGTTACAACCGATATCTGAGGACACACCTGAAATCAATCCGGTCCAGTCCTTGTTTACTTGCTAACTTAATCTTTATTTCCACTCTATCCACCCAGCTAGCCAGCGAGCTGGATTTTCCACTTGTAACTCAGTCCCTGGTTGTATATATAAGCTATTTAGATCCGGATGACAGTAAATATTAATAAAAAAAAGGAAATAAAACATGAGCCGCGCTGCTCAAAACATTTGCCGAGCTGTAACGTTCACGTTAGCTAAGCTACTCAGCTAACCCTGACGCTTCCCTTCCCACATGATTAGTTTATCACAAGACTCAATTCAAACACGAAGTCCGACACTTTTAACCTCGCTGACAACAAAAGTGAACCATCCTTACCATCTGAACGCTCCAGCTCCGTCTCGGTTAGGCCGTTTTACTGCGGGAGAGAGGAAGAGAGAAACGGCTGTTTCGTTCTCAAGGCTCCAGCTTCAGGAATAAATGTCTTAGGAAAGTTCCGAGTGTCCGGCTAACAGCGCGCTTCACGGCACGGCCGCCAGAGGGCGACATAATGAGACTTTTTTGGGGGGGGGAATTAAAGGGGAATTCCACCGAATTTTTTTTTCAGAATGCATCTATGATTTAATAGCTGGGAGAGATTCAGAGTGATCTGATTAGAAATGTATTTATTTATTCTTTTAAAATATTTATATATACACTACATTGCCAAAAGTATTCGCTCGTCTGCCTTCACACGCATATGAACTTGAGCGACATCCCATTCTGAATCTATAGGGTTTAATATGATGTCGGCCCACCCTTTTTAGCTATAACAGCTTCAACTCTTCTGGGAAGGCTTTCCACAAGGTTCAGGAGTGTGTTTATGGGAATGTTTGACCATTCTTCCAGAAGCGCATTCGTGAGGTCAGACACTGATGTTGGACGAGAAGGCCTGGCTCGCAGTCTCCGCTCTAATTCATCCCAAAGGCGTTCTATCGGGTTGAGGTCAGGACTCTGTGCAGGCCAGTCAAGTTCTTCCACACCAAACTCGCTCATCCATGTCTTTATGGACCTTGTTTTGTGCACTGATGCGCAGTGTTGGAATAGGAAGAGGCCGTCCCTAAACTGTTCCCACAAAGTTGGGAGCATGAAATTGTCCAAAATCTCTTGGTCTGCTGAAGCATTAAGAGTTCCTTTCACTGGAACTAAGGGGCCGAGCCCAACTCCTGAAAAACAACCCCACACCATAATCCCCCCTCCACCAAACTTTACACTTGGCACAATGCAGTCAGACAAGTACCGTTCTCCTGGCAACCGCCAAACCCAGACTCGTACATCAGATTACCAGACGGAGAAGCGTGATTGGTCACTCCAGAGAACACGTCTCCACTGCTCTAGAGTCCAGTGGCGGCGCTTTACACCACTGCATTCGACGCTCTGCATTGCGCTTGGTGATGTAAGGCTTGGATGCAGCTGCTCGGCCATGGAAACCCATTCCATGAAGCTCTCTACGCTGTTCTTGAGCTAATCTGAAGGCCACATGAAGTTTGGAGGTCTGTAGCGATTGACTCCGCAGAAAGTTGGTGACCTCTGCGCACTATGTGCCTCAGCATCCGCTGACCCTGCTCTGTCATTTTACGTGGCCGACCACTTCGTGGCTGAGTTGCTGTCGTTCCCAATCGCTTCCACTTTGTTATAATACCACTGACAGCTGACTGTGGAATATTTAGTACCAAGGAAATTTCACGACTGGACTTGTTGCACAGGTGGCATCCTATCACGGTACCACACTGGAATTCACTGAGCTCCTGAGAGCGACACATTCTTTCACTAATGTCTGTAGAAGCAGTCTGCAGACCTAGGTGCTTGGTTTTATATACCTGTGGCCATGGAAGTGATTGGAACACCTGAATTCAATGATTTGGATGGGTGAGTGAATACTTTTGGCAATATAGTGTATATTACAGGGATCTGAATTTCAATATTGTAGTGTCTAGGTGAAGAAGAGCCAGAGGGAAACATTGCGCATGCAGGCAAATGCTCTTTTATGGAAAAGGCAGCAAGGGAGCAGCAAGCTGCCTCCTAGTGTCCAGTGGCCATGTAGCCCCCTCCTTCAATGATCACAGAGTCCAAGCAGAGTCCCTGGGGTCTGTGGGGGCTCCCCCAGCAGCAGTGCGCTCAGGAGGTGCCCCAGCGTTAACTCCTCCTGTGCCACCCTCTTGAACCTCGGATATGCCCACCAAAACATCTCGCTTAGCTCCACCGCCAGCTCAACCATTCGCTCTTCAGGAAGCAGGTGCCTGACTGGAATGGCACTGGAGGGTAGTAGTCAACGCCGCCAGGCCAATATGCCGCTCCGCCGAAATGTCCTTCCCCCCCATCCTTCATTAAGACTCTGTTGCCCAGAGCCGGTTTATGAGGAGCCTGGCCTCTTCTTATTTCTCCCATTGTTTTAAAAACATTACTGCGAAACACAAGAGGGCGCCCGCGAGCGAGTCCTCAATGAATGGGGGCGAATGGAGCTCAATGGCTAAAAACGGAAAGTTAAAATAGTTTCTAATCACTTACACAGAACTTTCCTTTGATTTTAGAAAGTAGAAAGATGTATCTCAGTTTTAGGTAGTAGGACGCTAACATCACTACTACTGAGTGGTGATTGGTGAGCATTACTGCTACAGAGCGCTGATTGGTTAGTGTTACTGCTACGGCGCGCTGATTGGTTAGCGTTATTGCTACGGAGCGCCGACTGGCTGTTTGCGCTCATTGACATTATGAACGTACGAGACACGAGTTTTAAAACTGGAGCTCAGAAGTGCAGAAACATGTAACAGCGGTGTTAAAACGTTTTATGCCACTCTGTGTTCAGAAAATGAATGTATTCCTTTATATTAAAGACATTCAAGCATTTATAAACTACGATTTTACTTAAATGCTCCGTGTTAATCCATTCATTTTGACCTCGCTCGGGAGCGCCCTCTAGTGTCTGAGAAACCCAGAAGACATTACAGAGCGATTATTCTCCACTGTATAAGGTCTCTGTCCGCTGCCGAGTCTGCCTTTGACTTTGTTGAAGCGCTTTTCCTCTCAAGGCTGCTGGGGAGCGCTACCCCACTTCTGACACCACATGTAGCGCCTAAGCGAAGAAGAATCAGAGGTAAACGCTGCTAATGCTGGCAAATACTCTTTCATTGAACAGGCTGCAAGGGAGAGGCACCGCCAAGCAGTCCTATGGCACCTACACCACAATATTATGGTTCTATATAGGAAAAAACACACAAGTAGCTTAACCAGTAAAATTTAACTTGTAAAGAGACCAAAAAAGACACTTGTATATGACATATGACAAATGATTTTATTATAAAAATAGATCATTACATTGCATTTAAACTGAGAGTGGATTCACTGTCTGTGCAGATATTTTGCAAACAAACCAGAGTCCTTTGGGTGGTATTTCACAAAGAAGGATTTTTGGTTAGCCTGACAACTTAGGCCAAAAAACAAGCCTGTCCAATAAGAGAAGAGCAAAGAAACACTTCTATGGACAGTCCTCAAGTTTCTGCTTTCATTATCCAGCTTATACAGCTGGATAATTCCTTTCCCCCAAACTGTGAAAGGAAATGTGGATGAAAGTCTATGCACTTGTATTTCTACACTTGCGTGGATCGTGCGTCCCCACAAATAGACTAAACCGATTAAAACATGTTGTTCAGTTCACTTTTTAAAAGAGCCAAGGCATTTCTGTGTCTCTGCATATGGGATTAAACATATGGTGAGAGTTCAGGTCAGGGCCAAGCTAGGATTAGGGCTATGATTAGAAAGTTCTAGTAATACTAACTTATAGGTCATTGTGTGGTCCTCACAAGTATACTAATACGAGCGTGTATGTGATGTTCAGAAAGACAGAGAGAAGGCTCTGTAGGAGAAGTTGGTGAAAACGTCAATCTGGTCACTACTGCCTGCTGCGGTCATCACCTGCAAAATCAACGTTGGAGAAGAGACAAAGGTTAGAAGCATGACAGCACCCAAGGCAGCAGTCCTGTTTATCAGAAGAAAGCGGGCTGCTGCAGTCGTAGCATTTTTGTGGCATTTATTTCCCGCTGGGCACTACGGTACAGCATAGTATAGCCACAAATCCGAACCCAGAACCGTCTGTAATCTGGTTAAGTACTGGTGTCCAATTTCCATCAAATAACAGAACCACAAAAGAAAGTGAAATTCAACCTAGATTGTGAGGTCACAATTTTTCTAGTGTTAATTAAGCAAAAGAACACTCGAGGTCGAAATAACATCACGGCTGTGATTTGGTCGCCGAAGATTATCACAGCCTTGATGTTATAGCGATAACACACTCCTCGAGTGTTCTACTGCTTTTATATAACAGCTAAATATATAAAGTAATAAATTAATAAACTGGGCCGTGAACGCGGCGTTTAATATGTTTTAATGTTTGCAGTTCCTTCACCAGATTATAGTTCCTTAACAAGCAGCTCGTTGCTACATCAGAGTAATGAACTCCGCTCACTCGCTGCACAGCCGGCAGTTCGTTCTCCAGCTCCTTACACTAAATTCCCAAACTGTCATCACCACTGAGCAGCTTTTTTGTTTTTTACTAGCAATAATGGAGAGTTCAGATTAACCCTTTTTTAAGTTTTTGTGATTGATTTTATGTGAGATACAGGTACATTCATCAATTCTGTCTGGCTAGTTTTTGGGTCTTTGCCTCAGGTTAACAAACTTTTTCTAATTTTACAATGACATAATACATTTTAATGACAATAAAAGGGTTAAAAATGGAGCAACGGGATTGAATAAACCAAAAATGCTTGTTTTGGTTATACTTTCTCCTGGTGGGTATTTTTTATACCTGTTTTAGTCACGATGCAGCATGAATAACTCACTTACCTGCACCAGACAATCTCCCTCAGAAAAGCAAGTAATCATCATTTTTCACCCAACCAAAAATATGATTAACATCTGTTAAAGTGTAAATTTTTAATTAGCTCAGTAATTAAAAATTTAACTCAGTAACTCAGTATTCTGTAAATGAGTTTTGTTATGAGCTTGTGAGATTGTTTTATTTAATTGCTGAAATGTTTGTTGCCTTGAAGCAACACTGTGCGACAGTGTAATGGGTTTAGCCTGTAGTGACTAAAGTGTCACTTAGCAGTTATTGTTTAGTTTTTCCATTTAGAATGGTTTTATTTACAATCATGTTGAGTTTTATGATAAAAGTCTAATTATGTCATGTAGCAGCATTCATCATGTATTACTAGTATCATTAATTTGTGGATTAGTAATAATGGGAATTGATACTAATTAGTATCAATTCCCATTATTTGAAAATTACTTGAATTTTTTTTTTGTTTTAGTATAGATTTAACTCTTTTTTTTGCATTAAATGACTGTTTAGAGTTCAAGAAATAGAAACATTACTCCAAAAAGTTAACATGCAAACAGTTTCTTTGAAATTTGTATAAAATAGAATTATTCTGGGGTTTTTTTTTAGCATTAATACTATTTAAAGATTAACAAATTGTGCAGTCACTCAGTTTCCTATATAATAATATCATTATATAATGCTCATAACACTCCTATATAATACACATCACTGTATATATAAATTTTAGTATGTATTAATGCACCAAGTTTTTGCTGTTTTGAGGAGTTTTTTGAGGTTTTCAGTCATTTTGCTTTGGTAATGAGCAGATGGTTTACATCTTGAGACAGTGATCTGAGACAAGCGAAAAACATTTCGAGACTGACGTATAAAAATTATTTTGCACATTCAGTTCGAGTTAACCTTTGTGTCAGCTTTGTGCAGCTCTGGGTGTTTGAAAACAGCAAGCTTTTCCTCTGTTGGTGACTAAAGAAAAGATGCCTTCAATATTGCTTGGTAAGCTGTGATGATATATGATGATTGATGGCTTTTCAGATTAAACACATGAAGTGCAGTGTGCAGGATAAGAATGGTTTTCAGTGTGTTTTCATCAATGTTCATCATCTTTTACCCAAATTTCTCCCCAATTTAGGCGTCTCCAATTCCACCCACTAGTTAGGACTCCCCCAATCACACGATACTATCAATGCTAGGAGGGTGAAGGCTAACACAGGCTTCCTCCGAGACCTGTGAAGTGCCACCACTTCTTTTTGAACTGCTGCTCACGCAACGTCATTGGACAGCTGAACGCGCTCGGAGGAAAGCGCCAACCGCCAGATCTGTTACGTCAGCTAACAGACGCCTGCGCTGAGTGATGGGGGGAGAGAGAGAGAGAGAGGCCAATTGTGCTCTCTTGGTCTCTTGGACTCTCTTGGACTCCCGGCCACGGAAGGCTGTAGCATCACCAGGGATCGAACTTGAGGTCTTCTGATGACACGGCCAACGCTTAGATGGTTGCGCCACTCGGGAGCCCATCATCTTTTTTAATCAATATGTTGAAATATTAATAAAAATACACGAATGGAATCCCAGCTATCGTGTCCATGACTTGTGTAAAACAACGTGCATGAGCTGACTGGTTAGCCGGTATAAAGCCTCACCCTGTGTTCAGAGCTGCTGAGGTTCAGGGCGAGTGTGTTGAGTGACGGTGAGGTGCAGGGGATCTGAGCCTTCACACTGCCCCCAAGCAGGCAGTGAGATACATGTGGACCCTCACCTACTGCCAGGATCTACAAAGACAGGACAAAAAGAAAAGAAGCTGAAAAAAAGCGAATATCCTTAAATGATGAGTCAGGTTATGCCAAATAGCATCGTACAAAACTCATCACACCTAAATCATTACAGATCTGTAATCTATAAACATAGACGAAAATACAGACAAAAGGCTTCAAACTCAGTCACAGTTTGAGGCAGCAGTGTGATTTGTAGCCTTGTAGCTCCAGTACAAAACTAAAGCAAAACTCCACAATCACATACCAAACATGTTATGTCTGATCCTGGTAAGGAGGCAACTGTGTACATTTGAATTCTGCACAGACTATTACGTTAATAGGTCAAGAATTCTCACTATCTCTACTGGCACAGAACCATTTTAGCATCCTTTTACCTCCCTGTCCAAATATTTTGGCCATCTGTTAAATCAGGATGCACAACACACACACAGAAAAGGCCTCACCATGTCCTGGTAAAACACAGCCTCTCTCTGACAGCCAGTCAGAGGGAATACTGAGGTAGGAGACATGGAGCGGAGGTGCCAAAGAGAGAGGGATGGGCCTCCGCCGCAGAGCTGAAAGACAGAAAAGAAGAAAGAAGATAGGGATCGTTATCAAGAATGCTTCAAAACAGAAATGTCTTGCAAGTAGGCGACATTCCAGAAGAGCAGCAGCCATGAAGGCGTCCTGACTGAGGGAAGCTGCCAGCATTTGGTAACTTTATTTTTTTTAAAGAAAGCAGTGAGACAAGTCCAAACAGCTGCGGAGACACAGATCTACTGTCTGATACAGAGGATTGTCTGGGTCTTTGTTTCATAAAGATTAGACCAGTGGTTACCAACCCTGGTCACTGAGATCTACCTCCAGAGCCGCATGCAGCTCTTTTACTGCCCTGTTGTGGCTCCACAGCTGAATTAGATTTGTAGGTAAAAATAAAATAATCCTCCTTTACAGTAAAATAAAGCTCTGCTGATCGTTCAACACAATTTACCAATAAATGGTCTTAAACGCTGGAGTTAATGTAGAACTGCTAATTCACCCTTTAACCCTGAAGATTGGCGCCAGACTGCTGGTCACCATAGCAACGCAGAAAACAGTCTCGCCCAGCTAGTAGCTAACGAAAAGGCAAAGAGAAAGATTGAAGATGAACATCGATAATTTGGAGATGAATGGCCTTATGTGCATTTATAATCACTCCAGCTGGTTTCCTGATCCGTTTAATCTGCAACGAGAAACTGACAAACACTAAAAAGTCATGAGGCTGAAGTCAGTTTCTCGTTTGAATTCTCCCGGTCCACCTTAAATGGTGAAGCAATTACATTCTGGAGCCTCAGGAACCATTTAAGGTGGAACGGGAAAATTCAAACAAAAAGCTGGCGAATATGAAGCTGACTTCAGCTTTGTAAAAAGCCGAAATGTTAAGAGACATTTTACAAGAAACTATTCCACTTTTGTGGAAAAGTTTCCTGCCAGAGATGTGAGAAAAGCAGCTGTAGCTGAGCTAAATCTTAAAGCAGAGCAAAGTACATCTGTTTTCATTTACATTTTTAGTCACACTAGGACATCAGATAGCACATATTAAGACATATTGTCAGCCAAGATGGTAAAACGTTACTTCAATAAAATGGACATCAAATGTTTTGGCTCTCAAGGCGGACTGATTTGTGCTGAAAGGGCACAATGGCTTTTCTTAACATATGGGTTGCGACCCCTGCTCTGGACTGTAGTTCAAATCACCTTCTTCAGCTCATTAACTTCTTCGGAAGTCTATGACTGGTTGGGTCAGACACATTATTATAGGCATGTGGAGGGAGCAGCATGTTAGATATAGGTTGGAACTAAACACTGCAGGAAAGCAGAGCTCCAGGAGGAGTGTTGGTGACTACTGGACTATTAAATTCTTCTCTTTTTCAATGCATACATGGAGAAGCATCCGACTATCTCAGGAAGCTTCCTATATTGGACACCACCTTACTAATCTTCAAAGAGCTAAACGAAACAGGTGATTGGGCGTTTTGCTCTGGAATGCCCTTCTTAATCCATCAAGAGTGTTCCACAGCACAGAGCTTAACCCTTTTTAAAAGCAGACATAAAATGCAATTTATGCCATTCAAAATGCACGCCTGCTGTGGAGGTGGCTCAGTAGAACTATGCACTTTTTTATTCATGTTTTAATATGTTGTTGGTCCTCCATGTGCTGCCAAAACAGCTCTGACCCATCGAGGCACATTTGCAGCAGATCCTTTTAGTCCTGTAAGTTGTGAGGTGGAGCCACCACTGATCGGACTTGTTGTTCCAGCACATCCCACAGATGCTTGATCTGATTGATATCTGGGGAATTTGGAGGCCAGACCTTGAACTCTTAGGCCTAATTCACACATGCTACCTCTGCGTGGCGTGAGCGATGCAGCACGGAATGCTTAACTAGTATTTTGTCATGAATTAAATCATTTTTAAAACAAAAAAGCCATTTTTAAGTTTGTATACAGTTCCCTGTTTTTCTTTTTGTGTGCAGTGCGGCAGGGCACCTTATCCTGCTGAAAGAGACCAAAGCCATCAGGGGATACCATTTCCATGAAGGGCTGTACGTGGCCCACAATGAAGTTTAAGTAGGTGGCGTGTGTCAAATTGAGGATCTCATGAATACCCAGACCCTGGGTTTCACAGCAGAACATCGACCAGAGCATCACACCTCCTCCACCAGCCTGTCTTCTTCCCACAGTGCATCCTGGTGCCTGGTGATCACTTATCCAGGTAAACGCACACACATACCTGACCGTCTATGTGATGTGAAAGACAATGAGACTCACGGGACCAGGCAACCTTCCATTGCTCCAAGGTCCAATTCTGACACCCGCATGCCCATTATAGGCATGTCTGACAGTGGACAGGGGTGAGCAGGGGCACTCTGAGCGGTCTGCGGCTACGAAGATTGTACGCAGCAGAGTGCGATGCACTGTGTGTTGTGACACATTTCCTTCCACAATCATTAAAAATTTCTGTGACTTGTGACGCAGTAGGCCTTCTGTCAGAGAAGCTCCAACCCAGTCATCTGGCCATAATGATTTGGCCCTTGTAAAAGTCGCTTTGTAATCAATATCCCAATTCCAAACCCGAGAACTGTAATTTTCATTATATCCAACGCTTTTCAATGTTATCTTAAATTTTAAGTGGAGAAATGAAACCTAAGAATATAGAGTTTGTGAACCAGCAGTCTACAGTCATCCTGAAAAAAATGAATGTGCTCACATTTGTGGCCAAAGAAAATCTTCATTTTATATTTGTCTGTTCAGCCTTATTAGGGGCCTGCATGAAGAGGAGAGCCAAGTCAGACTGACATGAAAACATTTTATTTAAAAAAAATCCTAAATATTATGGTATTATTGCTTGTATTATTTTATATTTAGCACGTTATGATTTACACTTAAATTGCAATTATATCTTTCAATCACGTCTCAGATCAAAACAAAAAGGAAAACTATCTTTATCAACCAACTAAACTTGGTGTTTCCTGCTTACCATCCAGTCAGAGTCTGTCGCAAGGCAGCTGATCCACTTCCCGAACTGGGGGCGGGCGCATTCCTAACCCACCAACATAAAGGAAGAGAGAGGCACGCTGTTGGCTTTAGAAGACCAGACATGAATCACTGTCTTTGTATCTGTGTCTAATATATCTGTTCGCTCATCAGTTTTCTTATCAGCCTTACCTCATACTTAAACACTTCAATGCAGTGCACTGCTTGGCTCGTCCGAGAGTCTGGGGAAAGATTGTGACGTATAAATGTACACTTATACTGATTTTTACTGCACTTTTTTTCAAAATGTACATCAATTAATCATTTTTTAATCAATTGTAACTCAGAATCTTAAAGTTCAAGGGCCCATATTATGGAAAACGATAATTACTGTAATAAATTTTCCTTCCTTTTAAGAGTGTTTGATGTAGAATGTAAACACTGTTATAGTTTCAAGACATACAGTTAATTCTCTATTTAATACAGACACTGAATTGCAAAAACAGCCTGTCTTGAATTCAGATGTTTTTGTGATGTCATAAAACCCAAAACATTTAAAGAAATCTTCTTATTCAGCCCACAGAAGTTTAGCCTCGCCCACTCTCTTAAGGAGCGTTTCAGCCCAGACTGCTTTTTAAACGAGGCACAACACAGAGCAGCCATTCAGAACGGAGCTCATTTACATATATCAGTTTTAAGGAGTAACTACAACCTTTTTTTCATTAACAGCTGAAATGCACTGCTCTGTAATAATAAAATATAACAACCTTGCTTGTAATGTGAACATATCTTTCTGAACTGTAAACATATCATTTTTATCGTGGTCACTTCCACCTCTGCAGTGCCCTCTGGGTCGACTCTGTTATAGACGCGGATGACGTGTTTTTGTATCAATGTACGATGATACGTCACAGTATGCAAATCAGACAATCAGCGTTACCGCCCACTGAGAGAGGTTGGAAAATGAAAAGTGTTTTTGGCACATAAAATCACACAAATGGTACAAGTGGACCTCAGGGAGAAAAAATAAAATACAAGAAAAATGTAGGATATCGGCCCTTTAGGAGAGTGATTTTAAACTATTCCGATCCTCAAGAGGCACAAACCCTTTACTACACTCAGAACCAACCTGTCCACATTTCTTAATTCTGTAATGATCAAAATATGACATGAACACTTTAATTAGCCACTCATTGAGCCTCTGTAAGGCCCTTTCTACACTTAACGAGTTCTTTAAATACTGTTTGCCTCTAACTCACCCCAAATCCTCACTGCTCCGTCCTCCCCGCCTGAGAGAATCTCTCCCTCTCTCTCCTTCAACGCCAGACAGTGGATGTAGTCTGTGTGGCCCTGCAGCACTGACTATAGAGAGAGTGAGAGAGAGAGAACAAGATTAATGTGGTGCAGATTCACTAAGGGCGTTTTCACACTTGGGCCGTTTCAGTGTCTGAAGTGGACTCAGACCGCTGAGTCATGGTTTCTTTTGCATATGTGAACACGGCAAACGAACTCAGACCCCTCTAAACAGCCCCAAAAACGAACCGAACTGAGACCACCTCTCGAGCTTTGCTTTATGGTGAAGACCTCGATGCTCGCCGTACACACAGCCACAGTCTTCAGCTCTTCAGCAGGTAAACAGACCAATGATCATACAGTTCTACTCAGGATAAAGTCTGTCCGTGACCTGAGACAGACAGCAGCGCTGACTTATTAAAGCGATCAGATGCGAGAGCTCGCGTGATTATACCATGTTAAAGGCTCGAGCTGGGCACGCAACGCAATTCTCAGCGGCCCACTTGGTGAGTGCTGTGCACACCGCGAGTGCTGTGAAATGGGGTCCGAGTTCTAATGGAGCTGTGGTCTGAACAAGAAGTGGTCTGAGATCCCAATGGACCAGAAAGAAGACTGAGTCCTCTTTATAGTTCACTTACATTGTGAACACAAAAAGAACTGAGGTCACTTGCAGTTGGTTCCCTTCCAGGTTCACTTTAACAGAACTCGGTTCGGTTCTTTTAAAACGAACTATATGTGAAAACACTGTAAGACTGCTACATAAGTCTGACCAAGTCACAGGTCAGAACGGTGTTGTTTTTGTAATACGTGTCTCAATAAATATTACTGTGACTGTGTCAGGAAACACAATTAAATTGCAATCAGGATATTATGTAATAATACTGACCGGCTTAACTGCTGTATTTCATCATATTGTCACTTGAGGTCATGAGTCAGTGATTTTACCACAGTTAAGTGGGTTGTAGGATAGAATCACTGTAACGCATGGCTTCTCATGGCATATTGGCTTATTTTTGGAACACCAGATTTTTCTTAAATATTTGCAATATTTTTGGAATATCTGGAATACTTGCTCCAACCTTAAAGATCCCAGTTTCCATGTCCATGATGTGAATGTTATTGTCTCCCCCGCCAACTACCAAGCTGTTGTCCTGAAAGACAATGAAGGTGACAAAGTGACAGATGGAGGGTGCATATGTCTGATATCAAGTCCAACCTCAGCACAACAAAATTATTTTAAGTGACAAATGAAACTGGCAACTAATAAAAAAAATCATTTTTATGTGAGAAACATAGATTACAATTCTCAAATATTTATACCAATACTTTAACGTAATGTATATAAAATTCATGCATAAAATTCAAAATGAACATACTTACTTTTGGATTAATAATCATCGCATTGATCTCTGGGATTTCAAGACTAGTTCTAGAAGAAAGAATCTTTAATTAATTTTAGTCATTACCTAAACAACAGAGTCATATCATGATATTATGTAATGACTGAATGAGCTGATTCTGCAGCAGAACACAGACATCAAGAGCACATTCATATGAGTGAAACTCAAGGGACACTCCAGCCAAAATAAAAAAATGTAACCATCAATGATAAACATGCCTTCTTGAATCCTACAGAGACACCGCAGTAGTGTCTAGAGCAGAATTTCTGGTTTAAAGGAGACTCCCCTTCTGATCATGTATGTTGAGGTTGGGAGGAAGTTTTGAAAAACCTACAACTGCTTTGGTTGATTTTTGGGGGTGGGCCTGAAATGTGAAAAGACAGATGAAGAGGACCACAAGCTAAAGCCCTAGCTATCTAGATAAACTATATGGCCAAAAGTATGAGGACAACCCTCTTTAGTATTGGTCAGGTGTTTCGGGCACAACTGTTGCTAACAGGTGTACAATATCAAGCATGTAGCTTTGCAACCTCCATGGACAAACAGGGGAACTAGAATGGGTCGTACCGAAGAGCTCAGTTGCTTTAAACATGGCACTGTTATAGGATGAGACCTTTGCCAGTCAGTTTGTCAAATTTCTGCCCCGCTAGATCTGCCCCAGTCAACTGTAAGTGCCAGTACTTGGGCAAAAATACCCATATACACTCTCCAAAATCTTGTAAAAGCTTCCCAGAAGAGTGGAAGCTGTTATAGCTGCAAAGGGGGACCAACTCCATATTCATGCCTAGGGATTTAGAAAGGGACGTCATAAAGGCTCCTGTGGGTGTAATGTGTAGGTGTCCCAATACTTTTGTCCATACAGTGTAAACTGAAGTTCTAGGCTGGAATGGCCCTCTAAGTAATGTCTGTTAACTGTGCCTTACTTGTAATTGGGCCTCCTTGTCCATACAGCTTTGGTGCTCTGTGGAATAAAGGACAAAGATAAACAGAATTTAATTAGTCGTCTTCTATACCACGCTGGCTAGAAATAGAAGACAGTCTATGCTGTGGGTGGCATAGAGTCCAGAGCTGGATCTCTACTTTCCTGCAGAGGTTAGCTTTTACCCTAATCTAACACATCTTAACCAAAGCCTTCAATAGCGTCTGAATATTAGAGACAGCTGAGCTGCTGCATGATTAATTTTATTTATACTGTCACAGCGATACGCGTTTCCACTTAAAACACATCACAAAGGGTACCAAAACAAAACTACACTACACAAACACAAATCCAGAGCGATGTAATTGAATCAGAGGTACAGTAGTAAATTATAACATTACAGCAGCATTGTGCTTTCCTAAGCCAGAACCAGAACTCATTCTGGCATGTGCATAATAAGTGCCTTATCCACTCTGCTATTCAGGCATTTATAAAAGAGACCCTAAAGCACAGCTAAATCACTGCTCTGTAACTACTAGCCTGTGCCTGTCAAGACACTTTAAACAGCACCAAACAGAGGCAGAAACTGTCAAAGGGAAAATCAGTTTTATATTTTGAACTTTGCACCGTGAATGGCACTTATCCTTATCTTTTATTATTAGTAATTTTGCTTTTTAGTCATGAAATAACATACTCTATATGCAGAACATGCCATGACCTTTATCTACTGTTGAACACACTTAAACAGTTAAAATTATTTTGGCACCCTAAACTCAAAACACACTTTATTGCATCCACAGTGTTACCTGCTCAGACACACCTGATTCAGCTGTTAGTTACCAGGTTTAGTGGGTGTTTTTGAGCTCAGAGTGCTACCCCAACTATACACAAACTCATGACCATGCATGTTCATTCCTACTCTCTTAGTGAGCTCCACCCAGCTCCACGCGCTGATCTCTCCATTCCCCGCACTTAGGAGATGAGTGTCTGTGGACAGCAGCGTGAACACGGGGCCTTCATGTGCTGGAGAGAGAGAGAGAGGGGGAGAGAGAGAGAGAGAGAGAGAGAGAGAGAGAGAGAAAGAGAGAGAGAGAGAGAGAAAAGAGAGAGAGAGAGAGAGAGAGAGAAAAGAGAGAGAGAGAGAGAGAGAGAAAAGAGAGAGAGAGAGAGAGAGAGAGAGAAAAGAGAGAAAGAGAGAGAGAGAGAGAGAGAGAGAGAGAGAGAGAGAGAAAAGAGAGAGAGAGAGAGAAAGAGAGAGAGAGAGAGAGAAAAAAGAGAGAGAGAGAAAGAGAAAGAGAAAGAGAGAGAGAAAAAAGAGAGAGAGAGAGAGAGAGAGAGAGAGAGAGAGAGAGAGAGAGAGATAGAGAGAGAGAGAGAGAGAGAAGAAAGAGAGAGAGAGACACTTTACCATACTATTTACAAATGAATTAGGTTTGGGTGAAAGTAACGAACAGAGACATTAAGTAAAGATGCTTTTACTTTCTATCGCAGAATGAAAAAAGAACCAACCAGTGAAGGTGAGAATGGGTTTCTGACTCATGTCTGTTGCATCTGGACTCAGTGCAGCTGACAGGCTGTAAGGAAGCAGCAAAATACCATATAAATGTGTTGTTAAGATATCTGCTGATTAGGATGTAAAGGCAAAAGCACACAAGTGTAAAGTACATTTAATCCTTGATTGGAAAAGTGAGCAGCTTTCAAAAATTAACATGTGACTCTCAGATAAGTAAATAAATAAATAACCACTAAATAAGTAACCACTGTAAACATCCAAAGTGTTCTAAAAAGTTTTAAAAAAAATTATAATACTTCCACGATGCACTGTGAAAGCCAACGGTTTGCTTACCTGTTATATACAAATTTTCATTTAAATAACACCGGCCAGCCACTTCATTAAGTACACCTTCTTGTATCTACACTTTGTCCATTTTATCAGCTCCACTCAGCACATAGACAAACTTCATAGTTCTCCAATTGCAGCCAGTCCATCTGTTTCTCTGCGTATTTTGTTAGCCCCCTTTCACCCCGTTCTTCAGTGGTCAGGACCCCCATGGACCCTCACAGAGCAGGCACTATTTGGGTGGTGGATCATTCTCAGCACTGCAGTAACACTGACGTGGTGGTGGTGTGTTAGTGTGTGTTGTGCTGGTCTGAGTGGATCAGACACAGCAGTGCTGCTAGAGTTTTTAAACACCTCAGTGTCACTGCTGGACTGAGAATAGTCCACCAACCAAAAATATCCAGCCAGCAGCGTCCGGTGGGCGGCATCCTGTGACCACTGATGAAGGACTAGAGGATGACCAACACAAACTGTGCAGCAGCAGATGAGCTATCGTCTCTGACTTTACATCTACAAGGTGGACTGACAAGGTAGGAGTGTCTAATAGAGTGGACAGTGAGTGGACACAGTGTTTAAAAACTCCTGCAGCACTGCTGAGTCTGATCCACTCAGACCAGCACAACACACACTGACACACCACCACCACGTCAGTGTTACTGCAGTGCTGAGAATGATCCACCACCCAAATAGTACCTGCTCTGTGAGGGTCCATGGGGGTCCTGACCACTGAAGAACAGGGTAACAAAGTATGCAGAGAAACAGATGGACTACAGTCTATAATTGTAGAACTACAAAGTGCACCTGACAAAATGGACAAAGTGTAGATGCAACCAGGCGTAAATGAATGAAATGGTTGTGTATATTGAAAATTATTATTATTATTTGTATTACATTTTTATAAGCATGGCCGGCCAATGTTGAGCATGACACTGTTTTACAAACTTGGCTTTTTAAGTATTATCATATTTGAAGCTAACACATCATAAATGTAGATGTTTAGAGTTTACATTTCTTGCAATCATCTATACAATTTCAAAGTGCATGTGCACGGAGGACTTTGTTGACTAACCCCTCTCCATGCAGCCTCACTTTTCAGAAGCTGGCGGCACTGAAAAACACAAACATTCCCTTGCAGACCAATTAAACGTTTTAACTTCAATTCCCTCTTAAAAATGAACAAATAAGGCAATAATGCAATTTGCTGAGGGTCGACTACTGACAGTCAACAGGAAAGCAATTCAATGACTAACTTAGAGGGAAAACCTTACTATAAAGCTACGTAGCTCATTTGAAGTTCTTCCACATCAGCTTGTTTTCCAGTGCAACCTCACCTGAATATGGCGACCTCTCCATAGTTATTACCAGCTGCTAAAAACCGTCCGCAGGGAGAGAAACTCTGGGAGAACACGGACATGTGGAGAAGCTGTGGAAAGAGAACGGCCTTAAACAACGAGAACTGAAAAGCGTGACACAATGAAAGGTTGAAGATTGTGACTCAAACACTACTTCTGTACAGAGTGAATTACTGTCTATGGAACAAACTGACTGCCTTGATTATACAGCAGTGTTTTCAGTGGCCACCAATCACGAGGCAGAAAGTGAGTGATCTGACTAGGACTAGATTCATCGGAGCATCGGAGCACTCAAATCAGGGCTGAACGATTTGGGAAAAATATCTAATTACGATTTATCAGCCTAATATTGCGACTGCAATTTAAGTTGCAATTATTTTCTGTAAATCCAGGTTCAGGCCTGTTTTTTTTGGGCAAGAAGACCAGAATATCCACTTTTTCTAGCTTGAGGCTCGACTCCTGAATGTAGTGTGCCAGACTGCTAGTAAGTTGTGGTTGTGATGTCATAACACATGGAGGTTTGGTTGGCTCTGATTGGTCCAACTTAACTACATGCAACCTTGTATCTCCATTTTTGTCGTTTTTTCAGTTTTGGACATAATTTGAAAATACCTGTTGTTCTTAACATTGTTTGTATATTTCATAATGAATGGGCCAAAACAAACGGCCCAAAATGACTTGGAAAAAATTCAGGTTCCATTGACTTACATTAAAAGTCAAGTATGTTTTTTCCTTCTCCTGTAAAGTTACCATTTTGGAGATACGAGGTTTTGTTCCGACAACAGCGATAAGAGGAAAACAGTATTTGGTCTTTGCGATTACTGTCTACATGTGGCGAAAGCAGCCCCGCCATTATTCCATCTCTAGTGGGAACAATTATCTAGGAACCAAAAAAGGACCGTAAAGGACCTAAATACTCAGTTCCTATTGGTAGTCGCCACATCGCTTCGCTCCTTATTTGCATAAAGTTAAACTTCGCTCAACTTTGTTGCATCGCTGACTCCGCCCACTTCACATCGCCTATGTTTACGCTGCCTCCTATTGACCTATTAAACACCTTAGAAAAACGAGATCTTTGTGTTTTAAATGGTATAATATGATCAACTGTTCTTACTCTGACCTGGGACACCAAGTAAAACTCAGATTTTAGGTCTTAGACTTCCTGTTCTTGGTTGGTCTGACGCGCAGTGTATTCTGGATACACTACACAATCTTAAGAAAATGGTTCTTCAAGGGTTCTTTAAAGGGAACGGTTCTGTGTGGAACCACGAGTTCTACATAGAACATGCTTAAAAGGTTCTTTGCATGGTGACATGGCTCTTCAGACTGATGGAGAAAGTGCTGCGTGTGGTTCTGTACAGCATATGTTTGGAAATAGTTCTATAGCATCAAAAAGGGTTCAGGCTTGACATCATAGCAGAACCCTATTTAGTGCTATATGGAACTTTTTAATAAGGTTCTGTATTGAACCATACACAATCTGAAGAGCTATTTCACTATGCAGAGAACTATTTTAGCATGAAATGGTTCTACATAGAACTCGTGGTTCTAAAATCCCTTTACTATAGAACCCTAAAGAACCATCTTTTTAAAAAGAAGAATAAACAGAAATACTGCAGTGACGCATTTCAGCATTAATAATGAGTAGGATTTACAGAACACAGTTACTGATCACTAACGGAACCACAGATGCTTCCTAAAAACACATAAAAATGCCAGAAAGTCGTCAAGGAAACGTCGTTATTTGTGGTTCTAGATAGTAACAACCTATATTTGCGCCTTTTCGTGACCAAAACAGCAGAAAACTGATTTAGAAGTTAGTTAGCAGCACCGCCGACCCGCTAATACTCCTTGTTCGAATTTTCCGGTCCTCCTTAAAAGGTGCAGCATTTAAGGTGGACCGGGGAAAACCGAACTAGAAGCGGGCGGACAGGCAGCCAGCTCGTTTGTGGAGGGGAGCTATGCTAAGCTAACGCAGACTATTCTTTTCTTTTCACAGCCTCTCCAGAAAAACCAGCCCAAGCTGCTCTTTCTAAATGTTTGGCTTCACCTCTGCGGAAAACGGAGCGCATTATTTACCTCGACTGGACCCATTTTGTGTGAAGAAATCACTGTTTTTCCAAAATATCACTCAAAGCTTCAGCCGGGTTTAGTTCAAACACAGGCTCAGGAATGTGACGTCACTGTGACGGAGCGTAGCGTGGGGTTTAAGCTGTTTTAGCTTGATTTTAAACATTACTTCAGCTTTCAATGCTCAATCTTTCACAATCAGAAATTAATTTATAAAATATTTAATAAATAAAAATGTTATTAGTGCTTGTCACATGCTGACTATGGCGTGTCTAACATAATAATAATAATAATAATAATAATAATTATACATACATACATACATACATACATACATCATCTAAACCGCTTATCCTTCTGGGTCGCGGTGGGGTGCTGGAGCCTATCCCAGCTGTCATTGGGCAGAAGGCAGGATACACCCTGGACAGGTCGCCAGTCCATCGCAGGGCTAATAATAATAATAATAATAATAATAATAATTATTATTATTATTATTATAATAACTTCATTTACTTTTGTTTTACATTTTAATGTATAAATACATTAAAAATGAAGCTCGAAGTGCTTTGCAATACAAAGTAAAAACAACAAAGGAAGAAGAAAAAAAAGAATATCAAAAATAAACATAAAAAAATGCAACAAATAAAAGCAACAGCAGAAAAGGGGATATTTTAATAATTAAAATTAAAAGCACAAGATAAAAATATAAATAAAAATACATCAAAAAATACAACTAACAAGAAAGTAAAAGTAATAGTAATATTCCAGTAAAAACAAAGGCAACAATAAGAAAGTTAAACACTAAAGTAATGAAATATGTTTTTAACTGTTCATTAAAAACATTGACAGAAGAGTCATTGAAGAGTCTGACGGATGTTTATTGGTAATGTGTTCCAGATGTTTGGGGCACAAAAACAAAACAATGCCTCGACGCTTTTTACACGTTTTAATGTGTTTTATAACTTTAATAGGAATTAGTGACTCATATTCACTATTTCAGTTCTCATTACTAAGAATGAATGGCTGTTTCCATTAAAGGGGAACTCAACCGATTTGGCAAAACTTCTGCATAGGTCAATCGTGGAGATGTAAACAAAGTCACCCAGAGTAGTTCGGTGTGAAATGCTCTGTTGTAGAGACAGTTGACTAGTCAGACATGTTCACAGCAGGTCCTCTCACCACCACTGTCAAGATTATCCAAGTAGGCAAGTTTCTCTACAGTGAAGCGTTTCACATCAAAGCACTCTAACTTTGTTAACATCTTGGCGACTGAACTATACAGAGGTTTTGAAAGTTTGGTGGAATTCCCCTTTAACTTTATTAAAATTAGATTTTTTTACTACAGTAAATTATAAACAGTTATTTCTAGTTTCACAGGCAAAAAATACATTTCACAAAAAAAATCTAATTATTGCATTAATTGGTGTAAAAATCTAAACTTGTGGTTTTTACATGTACAGTTAAACGTTTGTAGTCTAAGGCCCGATTCACACATGATGCGTCTGTGTGGCGTGAGCGACGCGGAAAGTCACGCTTTTCATTTTGGCGCCCATGTTCACTGGTCAGTGCTTTCACACAGGTTGCGCGTGTGAAGCGGCAGAGCGTCCCAGACGCCGCAGTGTTTAGAGAACAGACCCGGCGCGTTACGTAGCTAAATACACTGAAATAAGCCGTGAAAATGAATGAAAATTCAACAGAAAACCATATACAAACTTAAAAATGCTATTTTTTTTTAAATTTTATTCATGATGACATGCTAATTGAAGGTTTCATGCTGCAGACAGATTTCCCAGTTGGTCTACCAGGCTATGAACTTTTGCCTAATCTCAAGTCAGAATGTCGTTGAAGATAAACAAACATAACGTGCACTTTTATAGATGATATTTTTGTTGAGCAGAGTGACCGATTTGACCATCTATCCATCTAGAAAAAGGAATGTCTGTAGAACTTTTTTGCTGCTCCGCCCCGCAGCTCAAACGCTGTATGTATGACAGGCCAGCGTGTTGGAGCTGTACTGCTCATGCTGCCGCATCACTCACACCATGCAGAAGCAGTGTGTGAATAAGGCCTTACACTTGAACTGGCACATTAAAATTGAACTCATAATAATTTAAAAAAATCAGTCCCTTGATTAAAATGAATTACCATCCATGAATTCTTCTGGGTGACAACTAAAAAATTCACCAAAAGTCATCAATGTGAATGGAAAAATCATAAAGCGTCGTCATTTTGTACTGCGATGCATTTGTGAGTGAAGCACAGCATCAGTGAGACTCACTGAGGAGGCTGAGTGTTTTCTCTCCATGACAAGTGGTGGAGGTGAAACACTGGTGCTTGAAAGTTTGTGAACCCTTTATAGTTTTCTATATTTCTGCATAATTTGACCTAAAACCTCATCAGATTTTCACACAAGTCCTAATAGTAGATAAAGAGAACCAAATCAATTCATTTACTTATTGTTTAATTTGGTTCTCCATCTACTATTAGGACTTGTGTGAAAACCTTAAGTTTTAGGTCAAATTTATGCAGAAATATAGGAAACTCTAAAGGGTTCACAAACTTTTGAACACCACTGTATGTCATTATTGGTTAATATTATTTTATTATTCTTATTCTCCACTTGCTGGTGCACAAAACTCATAAGTTGTTTTAGAGGCGCAGGAAAACGAGGCAGACAGGAAAACAATTGTCTTGTAAACATATGATAAATAATGATTAATATGATCAGAGAAACTCTAACTAACATGGTCAAAAGATCAATTTTGATTTCAGACTCACTTTAGAATTGCAATATTAACTCATTTGTCTTTAATGTAGTATTACCATGTTATAACAATGCTATTTTTAACATGATACAAATAGAAGTAGAAACCAAATCTCTGATAGTTATAAAAAGGCTCTATGTTTGTAAATGCAGGAGGCTAAATAATACATTCTGAGATCTCAAAGCATTTCACAGCATAATTAACCTCTTCAACTCCTTGAGACCACCGGTGGTTACAAAACACACTTCATCATATTCTTTATAACTTTCATATTTCATAAGCTACATTCAGAAGGTGGGGGTCGTATAAGAGCTGTAACTGTCTTCATTCCAGTCAAATAGATGGGTGATGTAATTTTAAACCCTTATAAGAAAAAAAGCTGAACTCACAATTCTTTTTTTTTCTACTGAAAGTCGACCCATTTTTCCACAAATCTGGACTATAAACTATAAACAGATGGCGTCTCTTCAGTGATCTGCTCTGTAAAAATTATTTTTATAAAAAAAAATACAAAGAGCATCTAAGATTTTTGGCTTTCAGCAGTAAATTGTAAGCATATAGCAATGTGTGTGATCATAAAACACGTTCTGTTAATTTGAGGGGAGCTTTTACAAAAAAAATAAAAATAAAATAAAAATAAAAATTTACATTTATTTCATGCAGTTACTGAATAATTTACCTTACGATTTGGGCATGTACATTCAGATGGAGAAACCAAAATATACCCTGGGGGGAAAAAAAAAAAAAGTCTACAAAGGAAGATACAACCTTTTTTTATTCATTTTTTTTGCACAAAGAGAAACAAAAAGATTAGGGTCTACTCACAGACATGTAAGCAGGACACTGTCCTTTCAGATAACAATTACAAGTGTTTATCTACATTCAGAACACTGCAGCAGGGCAGAGAGAAGCTCTGGTCTCGTGTGTGTTTGTGACGTGTGATTGGATAAACGGTGTTCGGCATCTGTTGGCACAGAACAGTAAGTGACATGTAGGTGGCTCTACTTCTCTCTCTGCTTGCATTTGAATTACATTATAATAAAAGTCAAAATAAAGGAGTCCCCGGTGATACGTCTGAGTGCCAAAAAACAGGGATCTCTGAGATGTTTCCTCCAGTTCGCGGCTCATGTGTCGTCAAAATTAATGAAGCATCTGCTTCTGCTTCACATCTTCTTAAAGCGTCATGTGGTACTCCGGGTGGGGACGGGGAAAAAGAACCGAGGGGGGAAAAAAAATTACAAAGGAAGTTGATGTACAGCTAAATGCAACTGTTTTCTTTATTTTCTCCTCCTGTTGTTGGGAGATCTGCTTCTGGACCTCCTGGAAAAAAAGGGAGAAAGAAAAGAGGTAAATGAAGCGCATTAAAGCCTTAAGAAACTGCTAAACTGAAATTTAATAAAGCTTTTAAACAAGAACATTACAACAGTGTAATGACAAACACAGCACTAAACTTACCATTTGCACAGCTTTACAGATGTTACATTTCTGCAACTATTCTTGTTCTGTGATGTTCTGTACAATTTTATTATATAATTAAATTATACAATAGGTTTTAATTGGTACGCGTCCTCAGACCTTCATACTAGTATTTTTATCTGCCTATGTACAGATATCCACACTTCTCAGCTCTTAGTATTCATTATCCTTTACTCTATCTACTGTATTTTTATTTTAATTTGCCAAATACTTGTTAACAGTCCGTGCTTGTCTGGTCTGTTTAGTATGTTACGTGCATGTGTGCACTTACCAACATAAATTACTTGTATGAGCAGCACGTTTGGCGAAATAAAGTGATTCTGGTTCGGATTCTGAATCTGATCCGTCACTTGGGGTGGAAAATACCTGAGTACCTGTACTTTGTTACTATTCCACAGGTACCATAGTTACCTGTGAAATAATGATACTGAAACTGTATACTTCCTCCTCAATTTAGCTGTATCCAATTCCACCTACTAGTTGGGACTCCCCCAATCACACGATACCACCAGCACCAGGAGGACGAAGGCTAACACAGGCTTCCCCTGAGACCTGTGAAGCTCTACTGCATCTTTTCAAACTGCTGCTAACAGAACATCACTGGACAGCCAAACGCGTTTAGAGGAAAGCGCCCACCATCAGATCTGTTACGTCAGCTAACAGACGCCTGCGCTGACTTGCATCACGTTTTTTCTGGGTGATGGGGGAGACAGGGGGCGCCTTATTACCCACACAGAGAGCGAGGCCAATTGTGCTCACTTGGACTCCCGGCCACGGATGGCAGTGGCATCACCAGGGATCGAACTTGCGATCGCTTAGACGGCTGCACCACTCAGGAGCCCAAAAATCCATACTTGTTAATAAGAAATACTTGCCTG